CAAAAAAAAAAAAAAAAAAAAAAAAAGAATGGTGTCTCTTATTCCCTGGGCAGATAGATGGTCCTGGATTGTACAAGAAAATAGGCTGAGCAAGCCAGTAAGCAACATTCCTTCATGGTATCTGCTTCAGTTCCTACCTCCAGGTTCCTGTCTTGAGTTCCTGCCCGGATTCCCTTTGATGAACTATAATATGGCAGTGTATGATGAAATAATAAACTCTTTCCTTCCAAAGTTGCTTTTGGCCAGTATTTTATCATAGCACCAGAAACCCTGATATGATATGATAGAAAAGTTGGGGGGAGGGGGTGGAAATCAAGCTACTTCCCTTGTCTTTTTTTTTTCCTGGTTTTTCAAGATAGAGTTTCTCTGTATAACAACCCTAGGGGCTGTCCTGGAACTTGCTCTGTAGACCAGACTGGCCTCAAACTCAGAGTTTGCCTACCTCTGCCTCCCAAGTGCTGGGATTAAAGGCGTGAGCCAACACCACTTGGCCCCTTCTTGTCTTTTAAACTCAAATATCACCCATCAGCCAGTGTTCCCCTGTCCTATTAAATTCACAATACTCCCACCATTTAACATTCTACTTAAATGCAGTAGCTTAAGAGTGAAAAATTTTAACCAATATATTAAACAAAATACACACTAAAGCTATATATTAAAACTACCTAATCAGGCTGGAAAGCTGGCTCAGTGGTTATGAGTACTGGCTCACAACCATCTTTAATGAGATCTAGTGCCCTTTTCTAGCCTGTAGACATATGTGCAGACAGAAGAACACTGTACATAAAAAAAAAAAAAACTACCTAATACATACAATGTAATGTCAATACTAGCATTGCCTACTACTCATACTTACCATTTCATTGGGATGAACCAAAAACAAATAGATCCCTGGATACTTGTCAAAAACCTGAAAGGAGCAATTGGCTTGTTCCATTCGACAAAGTGCTTCCACACACAGTTCATCTAAATAGGAAAAAAAAAAACACAGTAAAGAATTTAAATTGCACCACTGCTCAAGAGGCCCTAAAAACTGGCTCCTTGGTTATTTTGTAAATAAAAGTTACTCATTTTTTGAAACTAAGGCATTAAAAATGCTGATGGTGGGGCTGTAGAGATGGCTCAGTGGTTAAGGACATTGGTTCTCTACCAGAGGTCCCGGGTTCAGTTTTCAGAAACGACATAATAGCTCACAACCACCTATAACGAGATCTGGTGCCCTATTCTGGCATACAGGCATATATGCAGACAGAGCACTCATATATATGTATGTATATATATGTATGTATATGTATAGTAAATCTTTAAAAAAAAAAAAAAAACCACACTGATGGTGTGATTGTTGGAACAGTATTTGCCTACTGGTAAGACTTTTTTTTTTGAGGTACCAGAAATCAAACCCAGTTCCTGAAGTATGCCAGGTAAACATACTAAATTATATTCCAGTTCTGATGACTGTTCATTGTGATCATGTATGGAATATTCCTCTTATTTTAAATTTATTAAAACATGAGGCTGAAGAGATGGTTCAGGGATTAAAAGCATTGGGAGTTCTTACAGAAAACCCAGATGACCCAGGTTCAATTCCCAGCACCCACATAGCAGCTAACAACTGTAATTCTAGTTGTAGGGGATCCGACACCCTCACACAGACATACATGCAAACAAACACCAAAGCACATAAAATAAAATTTACTAGAACATATTTATATTTTGTGTAATTATCTCCAAAGAATATCTTAGAAGTATGGTTATAGGACTAGTGTCTTGCATTTGATGTTTGGTTCACCTAGACTGGAGTAAGAAACCTTCTCTTGCTGATGACTAATCATCTCAATTTTATTTATCAATTAACTTCCTCTATTAGTTTTAAGTCAATTTTAATTTGTCAAACTTCAAAAAATAGTATGCTAGTGATAGTAGTTAGCTTTGGAGGGGGAATTATGACTGAGTCAGCTTACAGGAAACTCCTGAAATACTGGTAATGCACAAAAGTATGAATAATCACTGGGCAGTGGTGGTTCACGCCTTTAATTCCACCACTTAGGGAGTCAGAGGCAGGGGGATCTCTAATCTACAACAGCTAGATTCAGGACAGCCTCCAAAGCCACAGAGAAACCCTGTCTTGAAACACCAAAAAAAAAAAAAAAAAAAAAAAAAAAAGGAAAAATAATCTTCATTTTTATGTACTTCTATGGATTTTTAAATTTTTTAAAAGTACTTTTATGTGTGGGACGGGTGAAATGGCTCAGCAGTTAAGATCACTGGCTGCTCTTTCAGATCACTGGCTGCTCTTTCAGAAGACCCAGGTTTAATTCCCAGCATACACATGGCAGCACACACCTGTCTTTAACTCCCTCACACAAAACATACATGTAGGCAAAATAACAATGTACATAAAATTTTAAAAATTACAAAAAACTGGCCAGGCGTTGGTGGCACACACCTTTAATTCCAGCGAATTAAAGAGGCAGAGGCAGGCGATCTCTGTGAGTTCGAGGCCAGCCTGGCCTCCAAAGCGAGGGCCAGGATAGGCTCCAAAGCAATACAGAGAAAACCGCTCTCAAAAAAACAAAAAATAATAATAAATAAATAAATAAAACTTTATGAATATTTTACCTGTATGCATATTTGTACACCACATGCCTGCCTTGTGCCCAGAGATCAGAAGGGGTTGAGGGTCAGATCCCCTGGATCTGGAGTTACTGATATGAGCTGCTATGTGAGTGCTGGAAACTGAATCTTGATCCTCTGCAAGAGCAGCCAGTGCATTAACTGCTGGGCCATCTCTCCAGCCCTGCTTATTAGGGGTGTATTAGTCTTTGTTTAAGGAGCTGACTGCTGGCCTTGACTATTCACTCTCCCAAAGGACCTGGAATCTGACTCCAAGCACCAACAATGTGTTGGCTCACAACCATCTTTAACTCCAGTCCCAAAGGATCTAACATCTTCTTCTGGCTTCCTTGGGTATTTGCACATATGTGGCACATAGATGTGTGTGTATATATCACACAGGCTAAACACTAATATAAAAAATAGCAATGAAAATGCCCCCCATGAAGGCTTTTTTATTTTTTGAAAATGTGTAAGGGGCTTTCAGTTTAAAATCTAGTTAACTGGAAATTAATAATTTATCTAATCAAAAGCAGAGCTTGGTGGCATAAGCCAATGATCCCAGCACTCCAGAGGCAGGTGAATATCCCTAAGTTAGAGGCCAGAATTGTCTATATGGTGAGGACTAGCACAGTCATAGCTACAAAGAGAGACCCTCTCAAAAAGATAGCTTTATCTAATCAAATATTTATATTTACAGAGGATAAAGAAAATAAATAAATCAAAATAAAATTAAAAATGCAAAAAGTGTTATATTTATAGGGTAACTATATGGTCTCAAGTAACATGGCAAAAAAAAAAAAGATATAGATGGGCCTGGTGGCACAAGCCTGTAATCCCAGCTACTGGGGAGGCTGAGGTGAAAGGATCAAAAATTCAAAGCCTGCCTAGCTACAGAGTGAATTCAAGGCCAGCTTGAGGCAACTTAATAAGATGCTGCCTTAAAATAAACAATACTTGCCAGGTTAGGAATATAGAGTACTTGCCTAAGGTATGCATGATCCTGGGTTCAATCCCCAGTATTGCATCCCCCACCCACCCCCCAAAAAAATAATAAATAAAATGTATGTGTAAGTGAACTATTTTGGATTAAGAGAATAAATACAACCAAATTCAACGTGCTGTCCCTAGTCACTCTCAAATGAATTGGCCCCAAACCACATTTGTAACAACTGAGAATGTATGGGCTAGACACTATAGATGTCCTAGGATTCTTTGTACCTGGTAAGTATGATGGCCCACACTTCTCATCCCAGTTCAGGAGGCTAAGCCAGGACTTTGATTTCAAAGCCACCCTGGACTGAGATTCATTGCAAGAAATGAAAATATAATAGCCAAACTGGAACCGCCACAACATGCCATGAGAGCTAATTAATAAAAATTGCTACAGACCAGTTGTGTGGTTGGTTTTGTTTGCTTTGAGAAGGTCTCATATATCCCAGGCTGGCCTGGAAGTGTCTATGAGGACATTCCTGCTTCCACCTCCCTAGTAATGACATTACAGGTATATACCAAGCTGGTTAGAGCAGTGGTTCTCAACCTGTGGGTCTCCACCCATTGGGGTGTCACATATCAGATATCCTGTATATCAAATATTTCTATTAGGATTCATAATAGTAGCAAAAGTATGAAGTAACAACAAAAGTTTATGGCTGGGGGTCACGACAACATGAGGAACTGTATTAATCAAAGCATTAGGAAAATTGAGAAACACTGGATTAAAGGCTACTAGCCGGGCATTGGTGGCGCACGCCTTTAATCCCAGCACTTGGGAGGCAGAGGCAGGCGGATCTCTGAGTTCTAGCCCAGCCTGGTCTACAAGAGCTAGTTCCAGGACAGCCTCCAAAGCCACAGAGAAACCCTGTCTCAAAACAAACAAACAAACAAACAAACAAGGCTAATATTTTTGGTTGTGACAATAACAAGCTAGGGGATGTAGTGAACAAAGGCTAGGCCTGCTACTAACAATCACATAATGAAAACCAGAGTCCTGAGGAGAAATGAGCTGGTCTAAAAAGTCTGTATTGCCGCTTGGCGGTGGTAGCCCATGCCTTTAATCTCAGTACTCAGGAGGCAGAAGCAGCAAGGACAGTCTGGTCTACACAGAGAAACCTGTTGGGGTGGGGTGGGAGGAAGATACTCACTAACACGCTCATGAAGAAGCAAATAAGGGTACTTCAGTATTTCAAAAAGAGGAACTCGAAGCTTATTTTCAAAATCTTGGCCACTACAGTCAAATAGCTGTTCTTCTCCATTGTTGTCTACTATATATAATTCATCATCTTCAACTTCTGCCTTCATAGACTTCTCAAAGTGATTTATGAGGCGTAAGGTTTCTAGTTCCCATAAAACCTATAGAAAGATGAAAGCAGTGTTTTTTTATCTTAATAAAATATGCTGTGTATGATAATCAAACTTGTAGAAGGCCTTTTTCCTCTAAGTACAAAAATTTGCAACATCCCTTTTATCTCAGCACTCTGTAACACAGAGGCAGGCAGATCTGAGTTCGAGGCCCGCCTGGTCTACAGAGCAAGTTCCAGAATAGCCAGGGCTACACAGAGAAATCCTCTCTCAAAAAAACAAAAACAAACCAAAAAATTACAAGTTTAAAGTAGCAGCTATCACACATCATATATACACAGACATAACTTGAAGCTAGAGGTTCAATTTCTATACTTTCAACAAAATGAACACACATAAATGAGTTTCATCCAGTTTGGCTTCCCAACACATGTAAAATTGTTTACATGATTTCAGCCCCAAAGTACTATACACACACTTAAATTTAGTTTAAAAAAGTAAAAAAGTTCAGCGGGGCGTTGGTGGCGAATACCTTGAATCCTAGCACCCGGGAAGCAGAGGCAGGTGGATCTCTGTGAGTTCGAGGCCAGCCTGGTCTCCAGAGGGAGTGCCAGGATAGGCTCAAAAGCTACACAGAGAAACCCTGTGTAGCCAAAAAAAAAAAGAGTAAAAAGTTCAAAAGCTGTGATGTAACTCAGCTGTTAGATGCTCCCCTTAGCAGGCATGAGACTCCTGTTCCATTCCCAGCATAGGTAGACTGGGATAGCACAGTCCTGAAATCCAAACACTGAAAAGGTGGAGGCAAGAGTACCAGAAGCTAAAGGTCATCATCAGCTGCACAGAGTTTGAAAGCAGTGTGAGCTAGATACCTGTCTCAAATAAGAAAAGACCTTTTCCTTGGCATCCATAGCTCTGCTATACAAGTTGGTAATAAAGGCTTAACTTTTAGCATGTCATGGCTTTCACCGTGCCTTCCTTACTAGGCACATCTAGCTTCTGCCTGAGAGATATGTTATTTTTCCTTTTATTTGACCACTTCAGGCCACTGTAGGTGGCCTAATTTCAAAACTGTTATCTCAGGAACTAAGGTAGCCTAAGGAGAAGGAAAAGAGACAGGAAATGTCCAGTCAATAAAGCAGGTAGAATTCACACATTTACTGATTACAATATTCACTGCCTTACAAGAGTATGATTCATGACCCTCCAAACAGTTACAATAGGAACATCAGTCATCAGTGATCACAAATCACCAGAACATAAATAACAATGAAAATGTTCAAAATAGGAAAATTACAAAAGCTGACACAAAAAGAGGACGTGAGTCCATGCTCCTAGAAAAGTGGCACTGGTAAGATTTGTTCAAAACAAGATTACAAAACCTTGAAGTTGTAAAAACACAGTTCAGTAAGTCTAAGAGCCAAACAAGATGCACCTATATGAATTTTTTTAAGTTCCTAAATATGGCCCTTTATAATAAAGCCTGAGTACTAAGAATGAGAGACTTATACATTACCCTGCTGTCTTGCTACACACATGGAAATAATTCTGCTATATTCAGATATATAAACTATAAGCTATTCCAAACTAAATGAGAAACAGCTGGTGCTCCTTTGTCAAAGACATGAAAACAGGCTTTTCTTGTCCTGTGCATGCATGAAATGACAGTAGTCAGAAGGTAGAGACAAGCAGATCAGAAGTTCAAGGTCATTCTTCACTACGAATATAAAACCAGTCTTATCTCAAGGGATGTGGGGGTTACTTTACCTTAAATATAAGTTTATGCATAAAGACATTGGATAGTTTCAGCATAAAAATTAAGGATAGGGTGATGCTCAGTAAGTTTAGTGCTTTTCTTGCACAAGCTTGACAACCTGAATTCAGATCCCCAGATCCCCAACACTTATGTTAAAAAACTGGGTACACAAGTTCCGTGTCTGTAATGAGTGCCAGGATGAGACATGGATTCCTGGAGCTTGTTGGCTAGCCAGTCTGCCTCAATCATTCAGTAACTAGATCCCATTTCAAAATATAAGGCAAAGCGCTCTC